GAGTAAGAAATTATCCAATACAATTTATGCAAATGTGTATTAATAAACAGAGAAGTCCTGTAAATAGCATAGTTTGGATACCAGATGGAAGAAGACTATTATCTGGATCCAATTCAGGTGAAATCACTATGTGGAATGGGCTATTCTTTAACTTTGATACAATATTACAAGGACATAACTTCCCAATTAGGAAGCTTTTATTTTCAAGAAATAACAACTTGTTAATTTCAGGTGATAGCAAAGGATCAGTAAAATATTGGAATACGGCCATGAGTAATCTCAATGCTATTGAAAATGTTCACAGTGAAGGAATTAAAGATATGAGTTTTTCATGGAATGATAATAATTTTTTAACAGCCTCAGATGATGCCACAATAAAAATAATAGACACAAATACATGTAAAGTATTAAACACACTAAAAGGTCATAATTGGGACATAAGAAAAGCACAGTATCATGATATGTATAGTTTAATAGTTTCAGGTGGTAAAGATAACTTATTGAAATTTTGGGACCCAAGAGCTTCATCATCAGCTATAAGAACATTTCATTATCACAAAAACACAATATTAGCACTCGATATGACAAGAAATTACCTTATTACGGGTGGAAAAGATCAAGTTATAAAACAGTTAGACTTTAGAACAATGAAAGAATGTTTTACATATAAAACAGATGCAGATATCACCTGTTTAAGATTTTTACAAAAAGAAGAAGAATTTGCATTTGCATCAGGAAATGGAATAGGAGAAATAGTTTATTGGGAAAACTTTGATGATTCACCGGTAGCAAAAACGTTAGAATCACATGAAAATATTATTTGGTGTTTAGAAGAGCATCCAGCAGGACATTTATTAGCTAGTGCATCAGCAGACTTTCAAATAAAGTTTTGGGGAAGATTAAAACCATCTCATAAAATTAAGGAAGTAGAAGAGGAAGAAGAAGATTTTACAGCAATTCCCGGTTTGTAAAATGAAAGCAAATAAAATTATTTTTTTAATAAAATTTCAATCCCAATAAATTAATGATAATCCATTTAAAGAGATTAAAAGTAGTAAGAAAGGATAGAAAGATGAAAGTGAGTAACTTAATGTCAATGTTTATGCCGCAATCATCAAAAGAAATAGAAGTGTGTATTAAAGATAGTCTAATTATATCAATCTCTGCATTAACATCAACAAAACTCAATATATTTCTTAATTGTAATGAAGCAGGGGATTGTTATTTGATGTTTCCAAGTGGATTATTGTATTTAAAGAAAGGCAAGAGTAAAGTTAAAACATTGGTGGAAGGATACAAATATATTTTATATTATGAGGTGGTAAATGACCAAAGATCATTAAGCAAAGTTAAATTAAAAAAGGACGTCAAACTATTTAATACGATTAGTGAGAACACAGATGAAATAGAAGTAGTTAATTATAAAGATAAGAATGTGTATTTAGATCATTTAAATAAGACAATATCATTATTACATCCAAATATAAGGAAAATTAATATAATAAGGAAATTAAAGCTATTGAGGAAAAGATCTAATTTATTAGCAAAACCAAGATTACATTTAGAAATTAATAGAAAAAATATTTTGAATAGTTCATTAATAAGAATTGTTAGAAATTTTACTGATTTGACTATTGAAAATATAAAAGTTGAATTTACTAATGAAATGGGCCAAGATGATGGAGCTATTAGAAGAGAGTGGATTAATTCGGTATTTAATGAATTTAAAGAATTAAAATTTCAAAACGAGCCATTTTTAGTAGAGAAAGATGGAATATTTGATGTTAATGACAAACTTAATATTGAAAGTTCTTTCTTTTCTAATGAACAAACTAGTTTATTTACAATTAAGGAAATGATTAAAGATTTAACTTGTAATGAACAAAAGTTTTCTTTTCTTTTAGGTTATATGATTGGATTAGCACTTTATTTGGGTGAAGAGATTGGTATTAACCTATCATTGGCATTTTATGAAAATCTTTTAAAAAGAATTTATACTATTGATCATATTCAAGATGTCATATTACAAAAAAATTATGATCTACATAAAGACGATTTAGAAAATTTTGATTTGAATGAAGATTACTTGTTTGATAGACTGTTTAAAACCAAGGAAGGTTCTTATAATTTAATAAGAGTTGGTTTTATTTCATCAATTTATAATTTAGTTATATTAAAAGGTAAAGAACATGTTTCTTTATATTCTTATATCTGTAAAGAATTTACAGCCTTTGATTTTGTTAGACTGTTTAATAGCAATGAAAAGATAACAATTGAAACATTGAAGAGTGTAGTAAGATTTCAATATTGGGCTAAAAAAGAAAAAGAGATTGGTTGGTTCTGGGAAATACTTGGTGAATTTAGTGATAGTTTTTTAAGAAAATTACTTTTATTTGGTACAGGTTCTAATTACATTTCTAAATATGGAAATAGTAATAAATTACAAATATCATTTGTTAATACAAAGAATGGACTTATTAGTGCTAGTGCATGTGTTAATACAATTTATTTGGGACATTACGATAGTAAAGATATTATGAAAGAAAAAATTATTTATTCTATTGAAGAATGTGAAGGTTTTCATAAAATATAATTAAAATTATACTTTTTTAACTGATTTATTTAGTCATATAAATCGGTCTCATTTTCATTGTTGTTAAGGTGTTCAGTTGTATTAATCTCACTGTTCATTGATCTCGCAAATGCTTCATAAGATGCGATTTCATTCTGAGTAACTGATTTTCTAGCAGTTTTCATAGCATCTTTAAAGAATTCAAACGTAATGTAAGGAACTGGATCTTCTTCAAGATCAGGATTGGCCATCTCTGCTCTTATTGAGGCTCTTATAGCAAACTTAGCTGCTCTTTGACAAATTTCAGTTAAATCAGCACCAGATAATCCTTCTGTATTAGTTGCTATCTGTTCTAAATCAACATCATTTCCTATTGGGGAATTTTTTAATTTTGCATTAAGAATACTCTTACGACTTTTTATGTCTGGTAATGGAATATAAACTAATTGATCCAATCTACCAGGTCTCATTAAAGCCGTATCTAATAATTGTGGTCTGTTGGTAGCACCCATAATGAAGACATTTTTCTTTTGATTCATTCCATCCATTTCTACAAGTATTTGATTTAACATTCTATCAGTAACTCCACTGTTACCATCATCTGCATGTGTCCTTGACTTACCAATTGAGTCTATTTCATCAAAGAATAATACACAAGGTGCAGCGTTACGAGCCTTATCGAAAATACTTCTTACATTACTTTCTGAGTCACCCACCCATTTACTAAGCAATTCTGGTCCTTTAATTGAGATAAAATTAGCTTTACATTCAGTGGCAACAGCTTTAGCTAATAAGGTCTTACCACAACCAGGAGGTCCGTATAAAAGAACACCCTTTGAAGGTGACTGGCCAAACTTAAGATACTTATCTGCATGATTAACAGGGTACATAACAGTTTCAATAAGTTCTTGTTTTACACGAGATAAACCACCAATATCATCCCAACTAACATTAGGAGTTTCAATAACTGTCTCTCTCAATGATGAAGGATCAGTAGATCTAAGCGCAGACCTAAAATTATCCTCATTCACTTCTAATGATGCTAATATGTGAGCAGGTAACTTCTCAGCATCTAAATCAATATAAGGAAGTTTCTCTCTCAACTGACTATAAGCAGCTTCTGTACACAATGATGCTATATCAGCACCTACAAATCCATGAGTTTCTTTAGCTATATCCAATAAGTCAACTTCCGGTGATATCTTCATATTCTTAGTATGGATTGCAAATATATCAAGTCTCCCTAGCTCATCTGGTACTCCTATTTCTATTTCTCTATCAAATCTACCAAAACGTCTTAATGCTGGATCTAAACTGTTTGGTCTATTAGTGGCCGCTAACACAAAAACATTTTTTCTTGTTTTCATTCCGTCCATTAATGTTAATAATTGACTAACTACTCTTCTTTCACCTTCTGATGACCCACTAGATCGACTTGATGCAATTGAGTCTATTTCATCAATAAAAATTATCACTGATTTAGGTGCATACTTCTCAGCTTTTTCAAATGTTCTCCTTAAATTACTTTCTGACTCTCCGTTCATATGGGACATAATTTCAGGTCCATTGATTGTCAATAAAACAGCACTACATTCATTAGCAATTGCTTTAGCTATCATTGTTTTACCAGTACCAGGTGGTCCATGTAAAAGAATTCCTCTTGGTGGTCTTATTCCTATTCTTTCAAATAACTCTGGATGTTTTAATGGTAATTCAATACACTCTCTTATTTGTGCCATTTGTCTTCTACATCCACCAATATCCTCAAATCCAATTTCTGCCAATTCCTTTTCTACTTCATCTCGGTTAATATTTTCTGGGTCTACATTTATTTGTGTATCTTGAACTACTTGTGCATTTTCTACCTCAACAACATTACCTTCTTCATCTTTTATTTCTACACTCATTACTTTGATTTCGATTGCTTTAATACCTGCCTTTATCTTATAAACACAATTAGATGTTATAAATATTCTTGGTATACTTTCAAAGTATGGACAAATTAGTTTAGTAAATATATCACCTTGAATATCTTTTACAGTTTCTGCAACTGCTTTTATGTTAATATGATATGCGTCTTTGATCTTTGAATCATCTACACCATACAACTTAACTATATCATTAGATTTCACTCTCAGATTATTCATGGCTTCTCTATTAAGATATATCTTATTCACTTCTAATTCATCTGAGAATTTAACTATCAAATAACACTGTTGTTGTTTCTTACCTAACACTAAAACAGGCCCATATTCAAAAATATCATCAAGAATAGCAGCAGTGTCAGGATGTAATCCTACTTCGTGCTGACTAATTGAAGTCTTTACTGTGTTAGCAGATACTATTTTCATTGCGTTAGGTGTAGTACCTTCTAGTATTGCAGTTACTGCATCACGTCTTACATTCTCTTTATTCTTATTGACTGAATTCTTATTCATTATGGGTTTAATTTAATTTTGTTTTTAAATTAATTGTTTTTTTACTGGTTAAAACGGGACTCGAACCCATGAAAAATATTTATAAAATTATATTTTTATTGTAAAAGGTTACAATTAAATTATTTAAAACTATTTCATAAAATAATAAAACAATAATTTAAAATTTGTATTTACATTTAAACAGTGTTTAAACAGTATAAAAGATTAATTTCAATTTATTATAACAGTTATATTTAAATAAATTTATAGTAAAATGAATAGTTTTATTTATTCTAGTAATATAATTAAGAAATTAAAAATTTATTAATATTTTAATTTTAATATAATATTTCTATTAAAATATAAAATTTTTAATAAAATATTAACTTTAAGATAATTTATTATACTTTTTTATTTATATTATGAATCATCCATTAAATTTCATTTTATTTAAAAAAATAACCAAATACCGTTATAAAAATAAAAAGTTGTATTTTTGTAAGATTATATAGTATTTTTAAATTCAAGCTCATTTTAGTTCCATTGTTATGTTATTATTCTCATATAATTACAAAAAGGTAGTTATAAAATTAATTTTTTTATTTATAAAGAATTTTGTTATTCAAAATATTAAACAAAAAACTAGAGGAGATAAAAAGATAAAAGTTTTCTTATAAAATAATAAAAATATATTGCCTTTTTATAATCAATCAATAAATATTTTACATAATTAGTATAAGTTTTTGTTTTAAAATATTTATTAATAATTGATTTTATTAGATAAAAAATATTAAAAAGATTTTTTAATATTTAAATGTTGTTTGCCGAAATCAGTAGAAGACGAATAACTAATTTAATCTATTATTATCAGATATATTTTTACTGTTCATTATTTTAACTCGATTGTCTTTTTCTTGTATAATATAATCTATATCATTCTGTCTTAACATTATTAATTTTCATGTGTTAAAAATTATCATCAGAAAAATACTCTTTTTGGTAATTAACTCAAAAACTAATCTTTAAGATTTTACGAAAGTGTTAATAAAAGGTTTATTATTTTATGAATTTAAAAATGTTTTGTGAAATTCTATTTATAAAAATTATTTGCTCATTTTTTAATTATAAATAAAATGTTTTTTATGATAATTAATTTATCTTTTATACATATATATACCCTTGTTTGTTTCTAATTGTCAACCATCATTTTCATTTTCTTTAAAAACGTATTGTTAAAAGTGTTTGATTTTAAATTATTTTAAATAATTTTTTACCTTGCTTTTACAATAAATTTCTTATTAATATTTTTTTACTTATTATTAAAACACATATCATTTATTATTATTTAAATCAAATCATTTTTTGATAAATTTATTTTTAATTTCTGTATTATAAAACTTTTATTCTTGTAAAAATGTTTAAAAAATAAAAATTTTCATTATTTATAAATAGAAAATAAATTTGTTTTTATTATTTTTTGTTTTTTTATCATTCTAGTGTAACTAATATTAAAAAATATCAGTAAAGATTAAAAAATCATTAAAACTGTTATTTGTTTTCATATTAAATAATATAATGATAAATTAAATATTAAAAATTAAATATATAAAATTAATATATCATTTTTTAAAAAAATTACTTTAGTTGTAAAATTTCAACAAATAAATATGATGAATTTTCTATAAATAAGAATATAAATAAATATTGTCATGTCACAACATGACAAAGATTAAAAACTTTTTTGCTTAGACAAAGTAAGTAATTTTTGTAAATTGATTTTTTTAATATTAAAGAAATAAATAAATTTACTTACCTCGAAATATTATATACCTATTCCTCACAACAGTAACAGTAGTTACGGTAGATAAACATTATATTTAAAAAATTTCAAATCTTTTTTTATAATATTAAGCAAAAAATAAAACCGCTTAAAAAATTATTTACAAAATCATAGTTAAAAAATTTTTATTTCACAATATATATTTTAATATCTTATTATATAATATTTTTTTAATTTTATACTTTTGTGCTTTTAGGATCATTTTAGAAAATTTTTTGATAAAAATATATACCAAAAACAAGATCATAATAAATTTTCTCACCCTTTTTAACATTATAACAATTTTTTAAAAAAACTAATTTTTAAGCATTTATCATACGAGTTATTGGTACTAATTAAAAATGATCTTATAAAGGAAATTTAGCAATCAATTATTGTAGTTAAAAGAAGCGTTAGAAAGATAACCGCTTTAAATGTTAAATTCAAAACAAATAATAATATTGCAATTACACGTAAGTATGGATCAATAAGGGTTGAACAACTTAATGATAATTTAAAATTTGAATTAATAAAGATTTGTGATTAAAATCATTGATTATGTTTAATAGATATTACAAAAATAATTTGTAATAACTTCAATAATTAAAATTTCCTGGTTTACCGTAGCAAGAATTTTAAAGATTACGGTTTAATAACTAATGAACCTATTAAAAAGCTATTAATTAAATTACTAAACACAGTAAAAAGATTAACTTCGTCAAAAAAAACCTTTAGATATTTCAAATGAAACATTTATAATATTATTTTTTTCTGATGAGTGTAAATTTAACTTGTTTACTACTAATGTAATCCAATAAGTACGTTATTTATCAGTTAAAGATATAAAATAAATCTGAAAACATTATTGCTATGGTAAAATATGAAGGTAGATGTCTTATTATTTGAATTTTATTTTATCATTGGTTGTTTGGAGATTTGTTGAAGCAGAATCAACTGTGACAGCAGTATTTTATAAACAGATTGTTGTACAGAATTTATTGCCCTCTGCACGTGAATTAGAACTTATGAACTTATGTTCATATATGATAACAATTTAAAGCTTACTACAGGGCTTGTTGAGGGATAGTTTGATATAAATAACATTTATGTTTTAAAAAAACCTTCATAAACTCTTGATCCAAATCTTATTATAGATATGAGGGCTTATATTAAGTATAAATTAGCAAAAATAGGCAAATTAAATATAATCGAATTAAGAGTGAAAATTAAAAACATTTGATATTCGATGCCTTGTGTTCTAATAAAAAATATGTTAAAAGCTTTTATAAAGTGTTTTTGAAAATTTTAAAGTAAAGAGTAATAAAACCAAAAATTAAATTAATTATAGGTTTATTTTCTTGTACTTATTTTTATCAAAAAAATTCTTAACTGATTCAAAAAACACAAAAGTATAAAATATAAAAATTTTTAATTTTATAATCATAAATTAAGAAATATATATTGAAAAAATAACTATGATAGAATGTGATATTGTAAACAATCTTTAGGTATTTTCACTTCTTTTATCAACACTGTGTTTATTTTACTCAGAACAAGATTTTTAAATATTAAAGATACTTCTATAAACAAAAGTTTTTAAACCTAAAAACATTTAAAGTGATTATTGTATATCACTAAATAATCAATTTTCAAAAAATACTTTCAGAACAAATTTTAAGCTTAAAATTGTTTTATATATTTGAACTTAATTTTACAAAATTTAAAAACCATAAAAAATTGATTAAAAAATATGTTTAAAGAATTGAACATACTAAACGTAATTAGGTTAAAGATATTTATTATTGGGTTGAAATTCATTTTATGACCTATTTAAAAGAAAATACTTTTAACCCTTAATTTTAAATAAACCATGAAATGAAAGAGAGATTTGATAGAAAACTTAGAAAAAGAACAAAGAGGCCAGTGAGAATACCTAACACAAATAACAAAAAATTGTTTTTACATACTTTATTTATTTAGTTAATATATTTACAAAAAAATATTTAATTATTAAATAAAAATTATATTTTAAAATTTTTCGAACTTTAATTTATTCATTTAGAACAATTAGTGATCGAGAAAAACGGTAAATGTTTTTATCTAGAAACCTTTTTCTTTTTCTATATAATGAGGTGCAGAATGAAGAGGTTATATCGTTATCCCTTGTATAAATTGTATGTGGAATATTCAAAAAAACACTTCCGCAATTTAAAAAAATTGATTTGTAGCGAATCAATAGTTTTTTAAAACTTTTTTGGAGATCATTTACATCCAAAATTTCTTCTAATTCTGTTATTGGATCTTTAATTGGTTTATAACCTTTAGAACTGATAGAAAATTTTAGTTCTGACAATTCTTCTTGAAATGTTTCTACAAATTCATTATTGAAGGATTTAATCTGTTGTTCATTATTTAAAGATACTTTATCTTTTAAAATTATTAAATTTTTAAATTCTATTAATAAATTAAGCAATAAAATTGATTCGTTACTTGTTTTTATCACCATGTTTAAAAGTTTAAAATTTTTATCAAAATTATTGTTTTTGTTGTTTTCGATATCTTCTATTAAAAATCCAACAGATTTAATTAAATGATAATCAAAATAATTAAAATTATCTCTTGTAATATCTTCAATTGTTAAAGGAATATCTTTAGGTTTAATTTTTGACCTTAAATAATAAAAAATATTTTCAAGTTCATTTTTCTTAGCTTTAAACATATTAATTCTTTCTTCTTCAATAACAATTGAAATTATTTTATAAATAAAAGAATCAAATTTTTCCGATTCTGTATCATTTTTGAGATTATTTGAAGTATAAAAAGTGACTAATTCTCTAAATTCTTCTTGGTTTATAGGAAGATATGAAATAACAGTTTTTTGTTGTTCTTTTAAGCCACTATCTTGTATTTTTGGTATTTTACCTTCTAAACATCTAATTATGTCTTTTTGTTTATTAATTATTTCATTTGCATCATTATACTTATCTTTCAAAGCTATATTTTTATCTTTTAAGTGCTTATTTTCAATCACAATCCCCTCACTTTCTTCCTTGAGTTTTTTAACTTTTTCCCTAAGTTCCTCGATTTGACTGAACAAATTTACGTTTTCATCTTTAGATTCTTTACTTTTTTCGTTTGATACACTTTCATTATCTTTTTCCTTATTTTCTTCTTCTTGTTTGGTATTATCATTTTGAATTTCTATTTTACGTTTTTTAAATGGTAATGTTTTAGAATTTTCCATTATATTTCTTGAGTTAGAATCTAACTTTCTTTTTAACCCAGATTTTGTGTTAGAAATTGTTGGTATCTCTGAACAATTTAAATAACTAGCAATAATAAAAAACAACAACTTCATTTTAATAATAGGGGATTTTTTTTAATTATTTATATCTGAAAAGGAGTATAAAATATATCAAATTTAATTTTATAGTTTTTTAAAATTCATTAAATTTAATGTATAATACTAATAAGCAATGTTTATTAATGAAATCAATTTTCATTGACAGGTGTCATATTTTTATATAATTTAAATTTAAACAACTATTTATTATTGAATTAATTAGAATTAAAAGATGGATTTAAAAATTAATTAAAAATCTATTAAAAATCAAAACAAATAAAATGTAATATTTTAAAGTAATTTTCAATTGGTTTTAAATTATACATTATAGAATTTTATCAATATAATAAAATTCATAACTATTTGAATAAATAAAAATTCATATGTTCTTTTGTAATTAATATTATAAACTTTTCATGCACTATCATGTTTCTTTCAATCAATTGAAGAATTATTACAATCAATTATGTTAAAAGCCGGTAAAATATGAGTTTTACGACCATTATAATAATTTTTATAATCATTTGAATAAGTATCACAATCAATTACATAATCAAATCTTAATTAGGATTTATGATAAATTAAATACAAAATGTTTTCATAATTTTTTTAATATTATAAATCAAAGTAATTTTAATAAAGGTTTAACAGATACAGTAGCAGTAGAAGAAGTAGTAATAGATGCAATGGCAGTAGAATAAGTATATAAAACTTTTGACAAGAGGCAGTACCCGAGTTTGAGGAAGCAACATTAAGTTGTCTTTAATTATAACAGAAAAAGGAAGCGACTAAGTCACTTGTTTTGAGTCAAAGCTTATATGTTATGATGTCTTAATAGACTGTTAATAGTATTATAAAACGCTATAATATTGCTTGTAAGGTATTACTACAATCTCGTGGTGTTGATAAATGCTCTAACCTTAGTTTAGACATAAAAAAGGTATTTTTTCATGGATAAACAATGAAACTTTTCTTAGATTAAAAGATTTAAGTATAAAATTCATCAAAACTTTTGACATAACAGTGTCAATAAGTACAATTGAACGATGTTTTCATTAATTTGACTACATCTTAACATATAACATTAGTCTCTAAATGTGGAAATAGTCAAAATACTATAAAATGAAGGCTAATTTTGAGTGCACTTATCATACACTTGAAGAGAGAATAAACACAAAAACTTTGTTTTTTTGAAAGGTAGAGTTCTTAGTGGTGACATACCTAAGTAGAGGTAGATCCTTCAATAGTCAATCTGTATACTTAACTATTCTGGGTGTTAAAAGAAGAAGTATTTCTGTATTACGACAATAAAAAATATAAAATTGTCTTTTATAAAGTTCATGAGAGGACAATGAATCTTTTGTTTTCATCGTTGATAATACCAGAATCTATCATTACAAACGACCTCTGGAAAACAAAGAACTCTCTACTAGTACACTTTTAAATATTTGCTTTCTATTCACCTTTTTAAACCCAATAGAAAGTGTCTTTTTTGTTTGAAAAAATTTAGTTAGTTATAGTGTGCTTTTAACGAAACTCAATTAAGAAGTTTAATTGAAGAATTTTTTGTGAAATCACCTAAGAATATTGCAGTTTGTTTTATAGAAAATGTTGGTATTTGATAAGATCTACTGCAAGAGATATTATTCTTGAATAAAATAACCTTTTATTTCTTTTATTAATTGTAAATCCTGATAAAAAATTATAAAATAGATTATAATTTTATTATAATGATTACAAAAATCGTTATAATGATGTAAAAATTATAGTTCACCAGCTGTTTTTAGTAATTGACTAAAAATTTAATATTAATTACAAAAAAATATGTGATATTTTTATTTATTCAAATGATTGTAAATTTTATTATATTGATCAAAAAATCCTATAATATATATTTTAAAATCAATTGAAAATTATTTTGAAGTAATAATAATTAATTAAAATCAAAAAGATAATTACATATCATTTATGAGCTAATTTAAAGACTTTTTAATATTAAAAATTCAAAATATTTTTTATTAAAAAAAAGAATTTAGAAGAGATAATTTAAATAATAACAAGTCAACTTAAATTTTATATTTTTCATTCAATAAATTGAAATTTTTTTATAAAAATTTTTATTAATTAATTAACATAAAATAATTAATTAATGAAAAAATAATCAAAACTTAAATCATTAATATACTATTTAAATCTTTCAATTTAAAAAATTAAAAACTTTTTAACCCATGAAAAGTTTAATATTTTTAAAAACTTTTTTAAATATTATTCATATAAAGGGTACACCGGAATATTTGTATGTATTAAAAGAACAATTTACTGATTCTGAAATTAAGATAAGTGAGTTATACAAACTAAACAAAGAATTTGTGTCATTATATGATTTTAAATTTAAAAGCTTACATGTATGTAGAAATTTAAATTGCTCAAACAAAACAAATTCAAATATTGAATCATTCATAAACAAAAATCAAATCAATTTTGATAACTACATAAACGAGAAGACAATATTGGAAGATTTTTATCTAAAGAAAATTGAATGCATAACTGATTATTACTTTCCAATTTTTAACGAGAAATCATATCTGGTATTTATGTTTAAAACATACAAAGTATCAAAATATTTCATGATTCTTTATAAATATTATCTAAAGTTATTTAATATCATTAATCTTTACTTACAAGCAACTAGAATGTCAAATAATAATCAGCATCATATTATGAAAATCAAACATGAGGTAGCAAGAAAATTAATGAGTTTAAAAGTTAACTATGTGATTTCAGTAGAATTTTATGAAAGTTTAAAACCCGCTAATAAGTACTGTTTTATGTAATCTTTAGTAGATGGAACATTTAATCTTATGAATGAAATACAACAACCAATGATCGTCCATCTATTTGATGATAAAGTTTTTATGAAGACATATCTTAACCAGTATGTTTTACTGATTAAATACAATTACATGGTATGTCTTAGAAGAATTTGTTCATCTATATATCTTTTCTTAAGTAACAATGTCACAATCTTTGATTCTAAGAGGGTTGAAACTATAATACAAGAGCATGTTAAAAAACATCCAATTTTAAAATACTATTATGATATGTTTGTGTTTGATGAAATAATAAAATCAGGACATTGTATATCTGAATTAGAAGTTGTTCTAGAAAGAATATTTGAATAAAATTTTATTCTAATAATATGAGAGGTTTAAAAATGATTTCATTTAATAAACAATAAACGAGTTTATTTAAAAATATAAAATTTCAAAAATGAATGATATTACTTTTATTTGATTCATATTAATATGTTTTGTTTATAAAAAAGACAAATTGTTTAATATTTTATAATTATATTAAAAAAATTTTGTAAGTCTTAATAAAATTTTTTAAAACAAATCTTTATTAAAATTAGTTGTGTTTTTAAAATAACACTAAATCTCTATTGTTATAAAAACTTTTAAATTAAATTAAAAAATTAATATTTTCTTTAGAAATTTTTTTTAAAAAAATTATACTTTTATTAACTTGAATTTAAAAAAGTAAAAACTGTTTAAAATCATTTTAATCAATAATATACTGTTTGTTAATAATATCAATTAAATGAGAAACATTAATAGAACATATTTCAAACATATTCAATGAAGAATTATTATTTTCAAATGAAACTAATAATTCACATAAATTTACACTACAAGCCTGTACAACAGTACTATCAAAGATTAAGTCACATTTGTAGATAAGTGGTTCATTAGATGATATCTTTAGTGAAAATTGACTAATATCTACATTTGTGTGAAACTTAGGATCAAATCTACTGATTGGATATTTATAAGTTCCATATTTAGATTTAGGTTCAACTGTTCTGTTAAAAAATCCACTCTTATTAGTTACAACATTTTTAGCATAACAATTAAGATAATCCTTAAGATTTTCATACTTAGTTAGAAGTTCCTTATTCTTTGCAATTATTTCATTCATCTCCATGTAAGTATCATCATCATTAATTGTCTCAACTATATAATGTAACATTTCATTATAATCATTACTTCTTTTAGTGATATTGAGTGATTCTAATAGATTAAGATCTTCTTTAACTTCTGCCTTTAATTTGTTATGTTCATCATTTTTAAACAATAATTCAATTAAATCATCCTCTTCATTACTATCAACAATTAACTTGATTAACTTATTTTTCACTTCATTAAGATACATTTTCTTACCTAATTGTTCTAACAGTTCAGTGTCTAAATGAAAATCTTCTACATCAAGATTAAATTCACTATCATAATAACTATAATCAATTCCTGTATCCTCTAACAAGTTCTTTTTATTTTCAAATTTAACAGTTAAATTACTTCCCTCCAACTTCTTATCAAAGAAACCAATCTCATTTACCAAAGCCTTCAACTCACCTTTACAGTATTTAATATTCTCCTTCAGTAACTTTATTATCTTATTTATCTTGTTGATACTAATCTGTAAAATATACTTTGTATCATTCAATTTAAATTTACTAGTTTCCATTTCTAGATCACAATTAATATCTTCAATATTAAACAATTCAAGATACTCAGGTAAATTAACATAAGAATTATTATTAAAATGATGCTTAGCAACTTCTAATGCCTTATTATAATCCACAGTCTTATAAAATTCTAAGAATTTCTTAAAACTAAAATTACCAATGTTATTATTAGGGAATATTAACTCTAAAATCATAAAGTTACTTATATTAATTAAACTAATCAACAATGGGTAGTTGCCAATCAATAAAAACAATATTCTTTTTAAAGAATCATAATTATTACTTTTATGTATGAATATTCCAACCTCTTCAATATTTCTCTTGTTAACATTTCTAGCTAATAACCTTATCACTTTATAACTTTCACTAATTAGATTTTCAAGTATTTGATTATTTTTAATTAAATCAATAACTGCATATGTTATACCATGAGATTTATATTCATAATTGATGCTCTTGAAATACTTTCTAATAGAAGATAAATTAATATTTTTTTCAATGAATAAATCTTTAAATGCTTTTCTCCATATTAATGATTTTACTGTTGAAGGAATTAAATCTAAATTAAGATCAGGCTTTTCTATATAAATTTCTTTTTCTTCACTAATTTCTTTTTCTTCATTAAAATCTTTTCTCACTTCTTCTAACCCCCTTTGAATTTCCTCTAAATCAATTTCACCACAATCAGCTGCTTCTAAATCATCTTTTGTAAAACATACTTCTTTCTCATTAACTGCCTTTATTCCTTCACTCTTACCTTCATTACTTAGAAGTTTAGCCAGAGCATACAAACAAGCAATTACCTTGCTTTCATTTTTATACTCCCATAAATCAAGGGTTTCAAAATGATAGCAAGAAGGTAGTTTAGTTGTCTTCAAGAATCTTAAGAAATTATTAATGTTCTCAATCTCATAATACTTAGCTGTATTTTCTCTATAAACCTTACATTTATAACCATTTTTATTTGCAATCTCAGCTAATAAGATACCTGTTCTTAACTGTTCCTTAAACTCTCTTACTGACTTAACCTCACAGTATTCTCTGTTAATCCATTCTTTAGCACCTTCTAGTCTAATTAAATTGTAGTACTTTTTGGTAGCTTTGATTCTTCTAAGAATTTCTTCCTCTGTTAATCCAGTAACAAAGTTCCCACTCTTAATTAAATCAGCTTCCAACTCTTCCATATTTACATTTCCTGTCATAAACTCATCTTGTCTCGTCTCTGTCATTTTTAAGGGTAAATAAATAAAATTAATTTTTAAATCATAAAAACAGTAATCTAGAAATTTATTTATTTTGAGAAGATTTAGATCGAAATGAAAGCAATACTTTTAATTTCATCTTTGATATTTTTCCAGTAACAGAGTCTAATAAATCAAGATAAAAATTTTTATGTCCATTTTTCAAATTAAACAGAGGAATTTCTTTGAAAGACTTAAATTCTTTATTTCCAAATATACCAGTATGTTCATAAACATTAAATCTTATCTTATCCATGTATCTATTAATGTTAATTTCAAATCCTTCATTATAATCAAATAACTTACTATTTGTAATGTATTTGGTATTGTAGTGATCCTCACCATTAACTAATATTTCAACTGAAAAAGTTTTACTTGCAGGACTGACATCTTCTAATCTCATAACATATACAAGCAAAATTCCACTAATAGGTATTATATTGGATTTAAAATCACAATTAAACACTTTTACATTAGCACAATCTATTAACTTTGAAAATTTAGAACTATTTAAATTGGTTTGGTTAACAATGTTATCATCAGATCCCGACTTAACAAACACTTGATTCTCTAAATATCTTAGTGTACTCTTCATCTTTTCATCTAAAGTCAACTTACTCAATTTCTTTTTATCAAATTGCAAACTCACAAATTTATAATTTTTACTTTCCTTAATTGTATCATAAATCTCAGAAAATAACATTTTAAAATCAACTCTAACTCTATCAAATACAATACTAAAATAATAGTTATTATCATTCTCAGTAGTTAATCTATCACTCTTAAGATTCAAAGTATCTTCACCTAATAAATTAACATTATTATCAGTTATCTTAAATAGCCTAAAAGTTAACTTATCTTCATTTTCATTAACTGGTAAGACAATAGAACTATTAAATTGATAGTTTGTATTAAAAGGTTCTAATTTATAATTATCACTTAAAGATTCTATAATAATAAAATAAGTTCCTACAGAATTAATTTTCATAACTTCTAAATAAATCACTTTTTTAAAATTATCATTTTTACTTATTAAATTTTTATCATTATAAATTCCAATATTTAAACCTTTTTCTTTGTTTTTTTCTTCAACTTTATTTTTTTCTTTTTCTTCAACAATAAAATCGTTATTATCATTGTTATTTTCATTTATTAAATCAAAATTAATAAAATCTATTTTAAACTTTAAGTGAATCTCTCCACTTTCACAATTTCTTAATTTATAACCAACTTGATGCAAATCATTTATATCTGATAAATTAACAGAAACATAACCAATTAAGGAATTTTCTTTATCGTCCATAACATCAATTATCAATTTATAATAATCATAATCTTTAATAAATTGATCTAAAAACAAGTTATAATAAGGATCTCTTGAACTAAATATTCTTTTACTCTCATATTAAAATATTTCCTTTTTAGTACTTATTTCTACTGTTTTTAATATTAAATAAGTGTTATATAAAGATGTATCATTATATTTAGATAAGTTAGTAATGTTAATTACATTAATGTTAAGAATACCTGATTGTTGTCTTACGTTTGTAAGTGGGTAGAATGTAGTAGTAGTATAAAGTAGTGAGGTAGATTCAGGTGATACTAAATATAAAATTTCATTAAAGAAATGTCTATTAAGATTTCTTAAATAAATTGATCCAAACTTATTATTCGATTCGTGTAAAGTGATACCAATTTTAGTTGTTGTATCTTTAATTATTATAAAAAAGCTTTCATTAATAATTGGATTATGTCCATCATAAGAATTAGTTTTATGAACATCTGTTCCATTAATATCTAAAGTAACATATTTAGATGAATCATCATCAGTTATTAATTTATGTAATTCAACACAAACAATCCCTATTCTCTTACCTTGATATTCAGCTACTCCATCTAAATTAACTTCCATAAACTTTGGTTTTAATAACAAATTAGTAACTTGTTCATTAATAACATTAGTAATTATACCTGATATTCCAGGTAACTTAGTAATATCAAACATTTTAAGAGGAATTAATACAAAGTCAACAGTTGGTAATTCAAGCATTTGTAACTTGAGTGTCTTTAACATTGGTATTTCCCTCTTCAAATACAATTCAACTCTAAATTTAGCAGAAAAAGTTAAATTTCTAACTAAAAAAGGTAAACTAATAAAATTGTTAATATCAGCATTAACTTGTATACAAGAATTATACTTGTCTTGATTATTTTCTTGAGTAATCTCATCTTGTAAAGGAATAAAAGATAAAGAGAATTCAATAGCCAGTGCGTCATCTTTCCTCTCATAAAAACTTATATAATCAACCTCAGGTGGAAAAGTACCCAATGTACATTCTGTGAGTCTTAATCCCTTAATACCTGATACTTCCAGCTTTCTTAAAACTTCGTTAACATTAGAATGTATCTCTGAAGATATTGGTGCCTCAGATACTTTCCAAAACTGTCTAATAATGTAATTCAACCATTCAACTGTTTCAGACTTATCAACCGACTCATACCTCTTCACTCCTCTAAAGTAATTCTTAATACTTAGTTTATATTGATTCACTCTTTGTGAAAATACAAGATAAAATAAGTAGCTCAGTAAAAATAAATAAAATGGTTTAAGTTTATACTTTCCTATAAAATAACCAACTATTGAAGTTAATAAAAACACTCCATTAATTTTCATTAACTTAAATAATGAATGTGTTGGATTGTAATCTAAAGCACTGTGAATCTTTTTATTTTCATTACTCAAAATATTGCTTTCTTTATTGATCTTTTCATTGGATTCTTTTTTAATTAATGATCTATTATTGAGTAAGTTGTTTGTTAATTCGTTATCTTTTTTAAGTCTTTTATTAGTTTCACTGTGTTCTTCTCTTATTTGTTCAGACATTGTTTTGATGGGATTAAAAATAATTTAAATCTAAAAAATTTACTTAACTTTCATATTCTTTGACATCGTAATCTAATCCATTAACTTTATTGTTTTTTAGTTTCAATTTCATTGTTTTATAGTCACTTGGTTCACTCTTTAAATTATCACACTTATATTTTAAATCGTATTTTACTTTCTCATTGATTATTAAATTAGACTTTTGAAAATCAGATCTTTTAGAAATTTCTATTCCTTTAATTTCATTTCTTATTGTATTGTATTTAGTTCTTTTAACTTTGAGTCCAGGACCTGCCCAACTGTTCCATCCTGGTAAGACTTTAATGTCTTCCCTTGGTGCTTCTCTATTTACTATTTCCTGTTTTTCTTTATAAAAATCTTGATTTGATTCATCACTAACTAATTCTTTATTAATTTCTTTCTTTATTTTTATCTTTGAATTATTTATAGAAATCAGTGGTACATATTCTTGTTCTTCCTCACTAATTGTAGATGTTGAGTTAAGTTCTTCATACAAATTATTTTTAAGTTCTTGTTGTTTTTTTGCTTTTCTAAATGAAGCACTTTTTATTCTTTTAATTCTATGCATCTTTTTATCAAATTCTGCTTGTAATTTTACTTTGAATGTTTGATTTACTATTCCGCTCTTACTAACTATTTTGCTTATCTTTCTTCCTAATTTACTGTTTTCTAATACTTTAGTCTTATCTATCTTTTTGACTTCTTTTCTGTTTACAAAATCTTCAACATCATCTTTAACCATTTCTAATACTTTGTTCACACTTTCATCTTCTTTTATATCTATTGTCTTTCCATTTTCTAAATTTATTAAATCTTCTAAGTTAATCATTTTCTTAAAAAATTTTAATTAAAAAATTTTTCTTCTTAAAATTTTTTAAATGAGTAAAAGCGGATTTATGATTCATTTTATTAGAAATAAAGATAATAAAGCAATTAATGAGTTGAAATGCATACTTTCTCAATATAGTTTGGATCAGAATTCAGTTTATGAATCAGAGTTTAACTTTAGTAAATTATTAAATGTTAATAAACAACCTATAATTAAACTTCTTAAATCATATACTTGTAAAATGTTAGTTAGTTGTGATAAAATTGATAATGAATTATTAAATCATATTTATAATTCAACTTTTCAGTCAATTCAGAAGGTGATTCCTTTAGAATTGGTTATTGTTTATAAATTAAGTATTATTAAGTCATTTTTAAAAACTAAAACTAAATTAATTAATGAAAATGACACTTTTAAGATTGAATGTAAGTTGCTTAAATGTAATAAAGTTAGTAGAAAAGAAGAGTTGTTTGAACTCATTTTTAGTTTATTTAATAACAAAGTTAATTTAACAACACCTGACTTTGTAATCACAATTCAATCCATTGAAAATGTTATTGGTGTTAGTTTGATAGATAAAAATAATAAATTAATTTGAGCTAATTTTTACATCATGAATAGAAAAAGTAAAGAAGATTTTTTTATGTTAAATAGAGAGAATATAAATGAATTTATACTGAATTATCAAGATACTGCTCTATTATTAGATTTTATTTTGCAAGAGTATTTTGATGAACTGGAAGAAATGTTAAGTAAACTTAAATTATTTTATATAAATAGTAGAAAAAAATTTAGTGAAAAAATAGTGATTAGTATTGTTCAAAGAGTCTTTGATCTTAGTAAAATTAAATTCACACATGAAAATGTAATTAAATCACTTAAGTTAAATAATAGAGCATTAAACTTAGCAACTGGGTTATATTGTAAACACATTCAGTGTTATAAGTTAGTTAAATTAATATTGAATGAAATTTACTTAAATGGAAATGTTGATCCTAATTTGTTAATAAACACCATTGAAATTATTAATTTAGAAATGATTGATAAATATGAAGTTAATGTACTAATAAATGATAAAGAGTATATGGATAAATTATGTAAATGTCTGGATGGGTTGTTGGAAAATAATTATATTGATAACTTGCATGATTACTATTTGATATTTGGATTATTATTATTTAATAGAAATATTAGACTAAAAAGTATATTTAATTCTCTTATATTTGATTATTCAATAGAGACACTTTATCTAAGACCGGTGGTTGTTATTGAGCAAGGAATAAGTCTTTTTAATGATTTTATGATTGAACCAACACCAAATGATTTAACAAAGTTTCTTTTTATTGTTGATAATTTGTCTGTTTTTAAAAGTATAAAAGATTGTGATAAAAAAATATTTTATGAGATGAGTGATTTAATTGGACATGATTTGTTAATTCATAAATTTATTTCTACAGAAACTAACAAAGATTATCTTAAATTGATTGAAGGTAAATATAAGCCGTATGCTGATGAAAGGTACAATCAATTAAATCAATCACCTAAATATTAATTTTTTAATTTAAGTAAATAAACAAATGTTACTGTTAATTAAATATTTTTAAAAAGAAAAGTATAAATTAAGCATATTTTTGATATTGATTTCATAACATATTTTTATGATATCATGATTTTATTTATTTATTTATAAATATGGTATTTAATTAAACGTAAATAATACCCCTCATAATGATAGTTTATAGATTATTAAGTTGGTTACTTACATTTAACAACGTTGAAGGAAAAAATCTCGCTATATGTGGTGATGACGGAGTTGTATATTTAGAATTCAACGAAGCTGATCTTATGTGTTTGGTTACACAGGAAGGTCAGATTATGGTTGCACATAGAACTAGTGAAACTGGTGAATTTAGTCCATTACAGGTTGTTAATACTAATACCAATGAACTTACAGTTGTTGATTCATTACCTGCACCATTCCAAAATATTGTAAATCAGGCATCTCAAATTGAAAGCCAAAATACTTTTATTGCAAATTCCCCATATAGAGACTTTTATGTAGCTAATAATGAACAACAACCAATAATTCAAGCTACTCCAATGCCACA